TGCTCGTATTTTCCATTTATTCGACGATATTGCTTATTCGCGAATGAGAGTTTACCGCGTTCCGTTTCCTCGTTATTAAAGGTGCCGGTTGGTTACGATCACTGCTTCGTACTTTCTTGCTTTCTACCCGCTCATTATCGCGACTGTTTTTTTAATTAAAAATACGCGACAATCAGAGACTCTCGCGCGAGAAACGACCAACTTTCTAATGCCGCTATCGAGACAATTTCCTGTTTTTCCGCGATCGTCGTTCAGAACTTTCTATAGCAACAACTATTATAATAATTATTATTGCCAACGGTAATACGATTTTGACGCCAGACGTACGATATTTATTCACGTTCAGTTCGTCCCAGTAATCTAGGAGTGGAAAATTAACGTGTACGTAGAATTACAAAGCTACGAACGCAATAACGGGAAAACGAACGAAAAACGAAAATTCGCATTGCGGTCCGTTTCCTGCGACCGTGCCACGATGAAAGTTTATCCGCGGTCTGGCGAGATGATTCGTCGATCGACACCCACCGCGAGTTATTCGCGATGGGAATTGTGCGTCGCGTTTCAAGCTAACGACGCGTTGGCGAATGTTTGAAAACGTTAGTTTCGCGGCTGTTTAATACCGTCTATATTTAGACGACTGTGTTTGCGAGTCAGAAGCTTCGAATCGGAAAAAAATCCCTCGAAGGATCTAGAATTTTATCGCGGAAAAATGAATGGAAATCCGCGTTTGCGCAATTTGTAAACACGCTTAATTGGATATGCAAAATATAGCGAAGAAACAGTGGAAACATCGCTGAATTTGCAAGTTTCACGATAGAGAGTTTGTTGTGGTAGCTCGGTGACGTTACCGCTATCGTTTCGACTATTAATCGCCGTTATTTTATCTTTTTTTACCACACAGGAGTTGACAAAGTTAGCTCGCGTATTATCTAGTTGTAGTTGATACACGTGACAATTCGATGCACAGGTATTTCCACCCCTCTTCGAAGCAAGGAAAAAAACGGTTTCTTTCGTCGTCGAATACTTCATCGAAGCATATCGTACAACTTGATAACGCAACGTTCTCAAGTTCATGAGAATTCTTATCGACTTGAAAATTTCCTATGTTCCAATACCCCTTCTGCTTCTGCTTCTGTTTTTCTTTAGCGCCGGCTACTGTTTTGCCATTCAACGGTAATCACGACTCCGCTCTTGTCTAATCGCATAAATTTACAACGACGTAGTTTCTAGACGCCCCTAGGAGCTTCGTTATCGATAAATCACGCACCAACGACCATCGTTTCTCCGCTGTCGCCGATAGCGGCCTTCTTGTCCCTGGACAAAAAAAAGCGACGATAAATGGCTCGCGACGTATCGCCGATGTCATTTCGATTCGATCGAAGAGTCGACGACGAGAAATTAAAAAAACCATGGGAAATCAAAATTCGGCCATTCCGAATCGTCAGTCGATAGAAGAACGATAAAGATTTTCGAGTGCGCGACGATTTACTATAATCTGTAGCACTGTACGAGTTTAATGTATACAGTGGTGGAAGATGATCGTGTCTATAAACGAGTATCTGAATCGATATCTATGTTTGCCAGAGCGCAGATTTACCACATAGCGACAAACGAAAGATTCAGCGCGTTAATAACAGCTTGCCACCATTCTGTACACAGATGATATCGTTTCCGTCAAGTTTATCAGTTGAAAAATCCAGATTCGAAGGAAATAGACTAACTACGATAGACGGAGAATCGCGACGATCGAAAGCAAACGAATCGGTTTCTTTCTCTTTCGTAATCGCCGACGAAAACTATTTTTTCACCTTTCAATGACGATCGAAATGTTTGACAGAGCGCATCGATTAAGTCATCGTCGTTTAAAGAAGCCGATAGAACAAGTTGTTTGGTCGCGGATGCCAATGGTAATTGGCAGGCAGGCCAATTGGCGAGACATCTGTTCAAATCAAGTAATCGATAAATTCGTTCGCGATCGATCGAAAGAATCGAATTTCTTTTCGCTTTTCTTTTACGACGAATATCGACGAAGGAAACGCGTCGCGGAGTATCTGATCCTATCGTTGATTATTTTTATTAAAACACGAGATTCGACGGACTCGTTAATACGACGATTCCTGCCGATCTGAACGCCGCTTCCGGCAGTATATCGTCTCCGCTCGCGATATTACGGTAATTAAACGTTTCGATGGTGAAGTTTCTTTGTTATTTCGTTGCACGTTTCCCGCGGCTGTAGAACGGAGGAAATTAATCGATCCATTTGCGCGATGTTTAAAACGATTTGGAACGATCAACGAGGTTGCGGCAATTCGCCGATCGATAACGCTTTCTTCCTTTTCACGTTTATCCCCTTCGAAGAATGAATCGCGTTCGAGTCGTGTCCTTTCCTTCGATCGATATCTTCGATGCTTTGACAGAAGAACGGCAAATACTTTACGCAAGAAGAACGCAAACATGGATTATCTCGTTTTTCGATTATTAGAGATCCAAGAATGCAGACCTAGTAGCGAACAAACAAGTCGACGATGTCCGATATCGATATCCCGACAAGAGATTTTTCACGCGGCGATCGGCGCAACCATTCGTCGCGAGGAACACGCCTGGTTATTTTTATTTCGCGTTGCAATGTCGCGCGCGATCCGATGATATAAGAGCGATTCCGCGGCGATTATGTAAACCTGTTGCATTGCTCTCGGCTACAACGTTTAACGTGTCGTTTCGTCGCGTACGACGGTCGCACTCGGACTCCTTCGTTCCTTACCTTCGATCGCCACTTCGAAATCGCTAGACTCTGTCTAGTTTGACGCTTTCTTCGATTTCCTAGAAAAATCTAAAATCCGTCGTTTTACCGGCGATATTCCGACGTTCCGTCGTTCTAACGTTCGATGTCCATTTCAATTACGCACAATAGCGCAACGAGAGACTTCTGCTACCTTGGAATCCTCGTAACATGATCGACCAGTCGCACTTAATCGAGATTTTACTGCGCTGGATAAAGACTTAAACTATTCATCCGCCGATTATCTTAACCAGTCTAATTCAATTAGTCAATCTGCTTTAACGTAGTCTCGTTCAATTCCATCCAATTTCTTCGATTCAAGAACACCGTGCTCCACTGAACGTCGGGTTCTCGTATCTTTATATGGGCAGGTGCGCCGAGATTCTCGAGCGTTGTCTTTGAAATTGCCGATCATGCGAAACGCAGGCGGCAAGATACAAGCTATCGCGTTACATTTTGCCTATGAAAATGCTCGCTGTCGTTCGCTAACAGGAGCGTCGAATTCTCTCGTCGAGGACTCGGAAACTTCATCTTCGAAAATACCAAGATCCCACAGCGGACGAATCAAACGTTCTAATTACGTCGATAAGCGTAGGTTTAAGCTAGGCCGTATACGTAGTAAAGTTTAGTGTTGCGTTAGACATCGGACGTTTTCGAACGTGCATAACATGACAAAACGTTCCTGATTTATGTTATCCTCGATGATATCATCTCCGCAACGAGGACAGAGAGTCAGGCGCGAAATGCAGTCGCGTTCGCGATTCCATTCTTTCTTATCGGTTCGCTCTACCAGTGATCGACCGTTGTACGATCGGAGATATTCGATTTCGCGTATCGACGATCGAACTTCTCGCGTCGAACGCCACAGGGGTAAAAGAGGGACGGCA